ACGACAGCTGGCTATGCCAATTCAACTGAAAGAATCAAATCTGTATATAATTTATTAATTAGAAAGAGCAAACTAGGAAAGAAGAAAACTTTGGTTAAATAATAACACACATGCATGCTTCTCATACTGGGATTTTTCTTAATTAATGTCACGTTTTGGCCTTTCGGGGCACCTAAAGGATTTTGACACAACAAATCTCGTATTCTGCTTCTATATTTTCGCAATGGCAGAAGCATCACATGTGAAGGACAAAAAATAAATCGCATAGATTAGCTATTAATTGCATAAGACAAATTGAAAATCTTTCGTTCTTTGATTTATAAAACAAAAGGTTTGGTTCATACAGGTTGGCTCATCATTTGAACATAGATCTACCACTTGCAACGAAAATTCAAATGGAGGGCAAGAGCTTAAACAAAACTAATGCATATTAAGAGCTAAGAAATAGCTATACAAAGGGTTTATTTTCTATATTATTTTATTTAATTTTTTCTCCATATTTTGAACCCTATTTGTTTACTTAATTCAATCAAAATTTTATCAATCAATGTCATATTTTTCGGCAAAAAAAAAAAAAAGAAGAAGGGAGAAGATAGACACGACAAATTCTAAATGATTTTATGTTTGACACGTTATCTCAAGGGTGGTGGTAGGGTAATGGCACAAGTATCACATGTGCTTTGAAAAACCCTAAGAATCAATAATTTGCAAGAAGACAAAATTTATTTATTTTTGTAGGGAACACTATATACGTCGGTTCATGTGAACATGGTCGGATTTGTTTATTTTAGTTTTTATATAAAATTTCGACTTCTCCCCTTATTAAGGGAAAAAAAAAGCAAAAGAAAATGCTATAAAAAGATTATCAAAATAAGTCCCATGTGATAGCAATGTGCTAATCCATAAAAGATAACCATGCAAAACAATGGCCAAGAGGATTTTCCTTTTCCAATGGTATGATAGATTTATATAGCTACTATATATTATTCTAAATTTGTTAAAATTATTAAATTTCGAGTTACATAAAGAGAGGTAGCTCTCTGGTTTCATGTAAAGCTCACTTTTCACTCTTCAAATATAAAACTTTTTAAGAAAATATGTCGGATTCTAATCAAGATTTTTTTTTTTGGCCGAATAAGCAGGATTTTTTATAGTGTCAATTAAGTGTTTTCCTTTTTTAGATACAATTCTTTTTTTTTTCTTATTAACGTGCATGTTATTGTTTGTGATAGAGGTGACTAAGATTCACTGTAGAGGAAAAACCATGAGATTCATATTTTACAAGTGATTTTAAGTTTACAAACACACATGGACACTTGAGTAGATAATGACAATGATATATTCATATGGTACAAGAGCATAATGATAAGGGTTTAGATCTAACACTGGAGATAAGGCTTATAAGTAATTTATGATTAATCTGATAGGCCAGTTGGTTAAATCTAACTTAATTTATTTTTAAAAATAAAATAATCCGGATAAAATATAGAGAAGACTAGTTGGCGTAATCCATTTCTTTGTTTAGAGTTGCTTGGAGTTTGCATGGGATTTGTTATAAAGTGGGTTGGTGAAAACAGTCAGTCCTTCACACAAATAATATCTATAGAAAATAATAGTGATAATAATAATAATACATATAGATAAATAAAAATGATTTTATATGCTTCAAAATTGTGATCTAGATCTCTTGTTTCTAAGATCCTTCTCTTTTTAAATATATTTTTTTGTTGTTGGGTTGCTTTGTTCAACCCCCCTTCACCTCACCTCTCTCATGAGAAATAGGCTGATAATTCGATTTTTTTTCGGATTGCATATAAATATATTCACATTTAACAAAAAACAATTCATTTTCTGATCAATTATGAATAGCCAAAAGCATTGAAAATGTTGCTAAATTAAATGAAAATATTGTGTCTAAAGTTTTCTTTTACCTATAAAGCATTAAAAAAAAAGAAAAATGTAAAGAGAGAAAATTTTTCAAAAAAAAAAGTAAAGAGAGAAATAAGAAAATAAAAAAATTCCTTAATTTCATTCCACATTATTAGCTTTAATTTTAATTTGTATAGCATTAGTCAATCTTTTTCTTCAATTTGTATAGTCACCTAAGACTATATATATATATATGTTATCAATAATTTGAATCATCTAAAGCAATGAAATATATTAGGATGTTTCAATATTTTATAATGGCAATTATTCTTTTACAAGCAATGCCCAACCAAAACTAGATCAATTCATTTTTAACTTGATTTTTCTACTCTTTTTTAGTTATTATTTTTGGCCATACTTGATTGACGTAAGATCAAATTGCCTTTATGGGATGAGATTTTGCACATGACCACAAGATCTCAAGCAACTTCTCATTCGGTTTCACCTACCCCTTTAGGGGAGAAAATGAGCGGTGGTTGGTGATGACCACGACTTGCAAGCTTGACAACCCCTAATCTTTGGTTTTTATTTATATATCATTAAAGCATCATCCTTCTTTGACTTCTTTTTTCGTTTTAATTTTCCCTTTTCTCTTTTGATTTTTCTCTGGATAATGCAAATTGTTAGACACTCGTGCCCACCAAACCTTGCTTTTCTCAGCAGAAAAAAACTCTTCCACGACAACAAATTTATTTTAGGAAAATTAAAGGATCTAATCTCAAGTGGGCAGGACATGTATCCTTTTCGATTTTATTCTCAAATCTACTTTGGTTGATCAATGATAAACACAAATAGAAAAAAAAATTATAAACTAAGTTTTTATTTATTTCTACAGTTATAGCCAATTTATGATTAAAGTTAAGAAACAAAAATCGAAATTCGAAACCTTTTTCTTAGATAAAATATGACTATCATAGAATAGTTGCTCTGATAACGATGTTAATTTATAAGTTGATCTTCATATATCAAATAAAGAAAATTTTGTGTTAAGACCATGACTAGGGCAATATGCTATTTATAAGTGTAAATAATTTAGAAGTACATATCTTTCCAAAAAAAAAGTTAGAAGTAAACAACAGATAAACTTGTAGAAAAAACTTAAATAGTTTTTAAAATATTAAATTTTGAGAACTAAATGTGAAAAGATCCAAAGATTTGAGAAAGGTGGGTGGAGACAATAGGACTTGTTGACAACACTTCTACCAACTATTAAGCAATTACTTAAATTGAAATGGGGTTGGTAGATTTTCCACTAAATATAAGTGGATAATAATTAAATGGGTGAAAAAAATTATTAACTACCAAATGGGAAGCAAGCAAGATATTTAAGAAATTGCCTGCTGCCAATGAGATGTAAACCCTTTATATATTGAAAAATATGACCCCATGTTTTTCCTATGTTTTTTACTTTTTTTTTTCCCTTTTATGAGAGATCTAGTCATTTCCATGCAAAAAGTAATTATAGAAAATAACTTTCTGGTTGATATTTGAGAATCAAACATAGACACAGAATTAACCAAACCAATTTTAAAAGGACATAAAGAAAAAAAAAAGAATAAATTTGTAGAAGTTTATCCAATTTTGAAGTTGGCTTATTATAGAGGTTTCATAAGTTAGATGAACAAAAAATAATCTAACAAAGCCATAACTTTAAAGCAAACAAATAAAAAAGAATTAGTATATAATTAATTAAAACCTCTACCTGAAATGCTTAAAATTACTTAATTAACCCTACTTTTAAAAGGCTCATCATATTAATTGAGAGTAAATAATTGAGATCCTAAGCTATACATTAGGCATAAAATCTTTAAAAAATATTTTAATTTTTTTAAAATTTTAATATATAGAAATTAAAATCAATTTATTTATTTTTCTTAATTCTCATTTTAAGTAAAAAAAAAACAGAAATTGAATTTAAGAATATTTTTATTGTATGACACCACTCAATGAATTTAAAGCAAAGAGGGAAAAGAATAGAGAAAAATGAACTTAATTAATGCTCTTTAAGACAACTTGTCTGCAAAACCTTTAATCCTGATTCTTTAATTACGTTTTATTAAATTGTGAGTTTTAATTACGAAAAATTTCTTCATAATGGCATCTATTTGTTAATTAATTTGATTATTTAGGGAAGTTAAACATGTAAACCCCCCCCCCCCCCCCCCCCTCCCTACCATAATTAGGTCTCTAAGATATTTATTTGGTTGTATACCATAGGTTTGTTTTTTGGTAATTTCCCTATAAATGATCAATGCTAATCATTTAGGTTTTGGTAAGTACAATTATGTGGTAGGCTAATATTTAGGAGTGTAGTCCAATTTTATCTAATAATTAGGTATCAAAACCGACTTATAACCAAATTAATTTATTTACAGATTTTCGTCATAATTAGTTATCGATTTAAAAAAACAAAAAAAAAAGATTGCAATGTGTAATGTATTTCTTAAAGTAAAAAATTAACTTAATGTTTAAAAGTTAATATATATATATATATAGTATTAATATTTGATGAACTGATAGTGTATAGTTTCTATACAAGATTAGATCATCAAATCTTGACTTGAGATATTATTTTAAAAAAATAAAAAATTGATAAGATTTCAAAACAATATAAAATTTTAATATTAATCTTTTATTTTCTTTCAAAGATATATTATTTAAGAGATTTCAAAGAGTTATGACAGAGGGGAATATGTTCCAGTTTGACTTTATAAAATTTGCGGTTGTCTTCATAAGATTAGAACATTATCTCATAAAGCATCACAAATTGGACAAATTTGTAATTTTGTTGAGTCGACAAACTGGCGGTGACGTTGGGCTTTCGTGCCTCCCCTCCAGCGTTCACCAACCCCGCTCCCCTTTCCATTTCGTTGTCTTTTGTGTTCTTTTGACAAGTACAAAGAGCCTCTTGCTTTGAACCAATCAATGGTTGACATGTGTTATCATCCAAACCATCAAAACTCATGAAGATCTGACGGCCACGTTGAGTTTTCAACTAACCCATCGGCCTACCCACCGAACACTCAATGTTTACACCCATCCGTTTGTCTATTTAAAGCCTCAAAATGTTGTTCAACGGACTCAGGAAGTTTTTCACTAAGCCTGAAAATTTCCTTCCTCATCATTCATACCTTTTGTAATCTTTGGTTTTCCTTTTGTAGTGCCCCAGGGCCAATAATAAGGCAATAACTCTTGTCTCCCTGAAATTTTTAGTGTTGTTGTCACCTCTTTAGTACATTTTTAGGCCGCCAACCAGGACAGTCAACTAGGAGACGGCCAAAATTATGGACCCAATGGAAGTACTGCCTCAATGCAATGGCAACGGTTCGCCAGGATTCTGCACCACTGACCCATTGAACTGGGGTGCATCAGCTGAGTCCTTGAAAGGTAGCCATCTTGATGAAGTGAAGCGTATGGTCGAGGAATACCGTAAGCCGGTGGTACGTCTGGGTGGCGAAACCTTAACCATAGCTCAAGTGACGGCCATAGCAAACCGGGATGCAGGCGTCAAGGTGGAGCTTTCGGATGAAGCCAGGCCGGCTGTTAAGGCTAGCAGCGACTGGGTCATGGAAGGGATGAATAGAGGTACTGATAGTTACGGTGTGACCACTGGCTTTGGTGCAACCTCTCATAGGAGGACCAAGCAAGGAGCTGCCCTCCAAAAGGAACTCATAAGGTAACTTAACTTGGATTATTTATTTATTTTTTTACCACGTAGCTAAGTCATGTAATAGTTTGATATTTATTTTTTTTCCCATATAAATAAAGTAATTAATAATGAGCCTTTAAATTTGTTATAATTAGGCCAACACCCTTTCCACCACGTTTGGTAGGTGGATTCTCAGCTATCTGCCATAGCAATAATTAGGTGAAAAAGGCATACATTTAACTTCTCTTTTGTTTTCGTTTTTACCTGTCCACACCCTTTTTTCAGTCTTTAATTTTATTTTAATTTTTAATACAAAATATTGTCTAGGAAAAGGAAATATGAATAAATCCTACTGTTTTATAGATAATGAATCTTTTTCATACAACTTATTTTTTAAGGTTGTTCTCAGCATGGGACCATGTGACTTTGGGAAGGGGCATAAATTTGTGGGTCATGAAAGTTATGGACATTTAATTTTGTTTCTGATTTAAAACTTCTCAACTAAATGAAATAAATAATTAGACTAGGCTAAGTCTTTCATAGTTTTATTTATTTTCTTTATTACTAATTTTTGTTCCAAGTTTACATGGGGGCTCCTAGGATTAATAAAATGTTATGAAATTGATTAGATTTTGGACTTTTAGATTATTAAAATGAAATCATACTTGAAGGAGCGTTGAATTATATATATTTCTCCTAATCATATTATAAAATCCAATTAATACTCATTCAAATGTAAGAAATAGTATTAAGATGACTACTTTAATTTTTATTTCATTCTTATTTTCTTTTGTTTTTAATAAATTAGCCCTGTTATCTTCAGTCTTCATGTGGTGGGGCAAACTGAAAGAAGTGAAATATTTTTTATGGATTAACAAATGACAAGGAAAAGAAGAAAAACAATACTTAAATTCGTTTGGTGGAAGAAGTAAAATTTAAGAAAACAATAGAAAAATAGAATTTTTCCAATAATCAACATTTCCATTTTGCCTGGTCAAAATTGGAAAGATATTTTGCCAGAAAGAAGATAAGAATTTAATATTTGCTGTCAATTTATTTGTTGAAATAAATACATCCCAAATAAATATTGGTATATAGAAAAGAAAATAAAAGTCTTACCTGGTAAATAATTAATGAGACAGTAGACATGGTAAAATTCTTGTTGATAAATGATGGTATTAGTGCTAGCTGGGTCAAGGTCAGCTACTGAACTCTGTGGTACCTTTTCCAAGTCAATAATCAATAATAAAACTTGTACCTTTCGGACGTATTAAGCATAATATTTGTTAATTACAACAAAGGTTAATATTTTAGCTTTACCTTTATTTTCTCTTTCATTGCTTGACTGGACTTGGATCCTGTCAAAATCGCTGTCCTCTGTAGTCCAAGGCTAACCTGCTTAAGAAATGAGCTGGACATTGAATTTCTTTTTGGGGTTAAATCCTGCACATGGATTTCCAGCTTGCTATCAGAGCTACCCAGATTTTGTCCATAAGTTCTTAACTTGTTATGTTGTTAAATGTGATTAAAAACAATTTGTTGCAACAGGTTCTTGAATGCTGGAGTTTTCGGCCAAGGTACTGAGTCGTGCCATACGTTACCTCACACCGCGACAAGGGCGGCTATGCTTGTGAGGATCAACACTCTTCTGCAAGGATATTCTGGCATTAGATTTGAGATTCTAGAAGCGATAACCAAGCTACTCAATGTGAACATCACCCCATGTCTGCCACTCAGGGGAACAATTACTGCATCTGGTGACCTGGTGCCACTGTCCTACATTGCAGGGCTTTTGACTGGCAGGCCTAATTCCAAGGCTGTTGGGCCCAATGGTGAGGCCTTGAATCCCTCGGAAGCCTTCAGCCGGGCTGGGATCAATGGTGGATTTTTTGAGTTGCAACCCAAAGAAGGTCTTGCTCTAGTGAATGGGACGGCTGTTGGGTCTGGCTTAGCTTCCTTGGTCCTTTTTGAGGCCAATGTTCAAGCAGTCCTCTCAGAAGTTTTATCAGCAATTTTTGCTGAAGTTATGCAAGGGAAGCCTGAATTTACTGACCACTTGACTCACAAGCTGAAGCATCATCCAGGCCAGATTGAAGCTGCGGCCATCATGGAACACATTTTGGATGGTAGCTCTTACATTAAAGCAGCCCAAAAATTGCATGAAATGGATCCTCTTCAGAAGCCAAAACAAGACAGATATGCTCTTAGAACTTCCCCTCAATGGCTTGGCCCTCAGATTGAAGTGATCAGGGCAGCAACCAAAATGATTGAAAGAGAGATCAACTCTGTGAATGACAATCCATTGATTGATGTATCAAGAGATAAGGCTTTACATGGAGGGAATTTCCAAGGTACCCCAATTGGTGTGTCCATGGATAACACTCGTCTAGCCATCGCTGCAATTGGCAAACTCATGTTTGCTCAATTTTCTGAGCTTGTTAATGACTACTACAACAATGGTTTGCCTTCAAATCTGTCTGCAAGCCGCAATCCAAGTTTGGATTATGGTTTCAAGGGAGCAGAAATTGCAATGGCTTCTTACTGCTCTGAACTTCAATTCCTTGGCAACCCTGTCACCAATCATGTCCAAAGTGCTGAGCAACACAACCAGGATGTGAACTCATTAGGCCTGATCTCAGCAAGAAAAACAGCTGAAGCTGTTGACATATTGAAGCTCATGTCTTCAACTTTCTTGATCGCTCTATGCCAAGCCATTGACTTGAGGCATTTGGAAGAAAACTTAAAGAACACTGTGAAGAACACAGTTAGTCAAGTGGCCAAGAGAGTCCTAACCATGGGATCCAATGGTGAACTTCATCCATCAAGATTCTGCGAAAAGGACCTGCTCAGAGTTGTCGATCGCGAGTACCTTTATGCTTACGTTGATGATCCTTGCAGTGCAACTTACCCATTAATGCAGAAGCTGAGACAAGTACTGGTAGACCATGCCTTGATGAATGGTGACAGAGAGAAGAACTCAACCACTTCAATTTTCCAAAAGATCGAAGCCTTTGAGGAAGAACTAAAAACCCTTTTGCCCAAAGAAGTTGAAAGTGCTAGAATCGATTTCGAGAACGGAAATACGGCCATTCCTAACAGGATCGAGGAATGCAGGTCCTATCCATTGTACAAGTTTGTGCGAGAAGTTCTGGGGACTAGTTTGTTAACCGGCGAGAAGGTAATCTCTCCAGGAGAAGAATGTGACAAGGTCTTCTCAGCAATGTGTGCGGGGAAGTTGATTGATCCATTGCTGGAGTGCTTGAAGGAGTGGAATGGTGCTCCTTTGCCCATATGCTAAGCTAAGGTGTTTACCAACGTCTCAATTACACCAATGTCACACTGTTTTATACGTTCTTTTATTTGTGCTCATAAAAAGGTAACTTGTGTTACTATGGAAATTGTCAAGAACAAACGTCTGCTGTTTTCCTTTCAAGCTATTGGTTTTTTTATTACTTTTATTAAATGTTTCTTTTGTATCAAGGACTTCATTACGCCATATGTAATGTAGATAACAAGTGTTTTTTACACATTCATTAAAATGCTCTCTCCCTCTCTCATTTGTTTACATTTGAAAGTATTAAGAAGTGATTGAGACCCATTTCACAATAAACTACTTATTAACTATAAAATACCCTCTAAGCAGTATAATTAATGTAATATCTATTTTTTTGCGACAATAATATGCTAGATGAAAAAAATTAACAAGTGCTTATAAAAATAAACGACCAATTGCATTTTTTAGATATAATATTTGAAAAAATTCTTATATTATTATAAATTTTTTAAATAAATTTTTATTTTTTTATCACGTTCAATCAAGTAATATGTTTTTATTTTGAATGAAATAAACCTTTAGACTAATAGTAGACTAATTATTATTAGTTAAACTATTATTTATTATTTTTTTATAATTACGTGATATTAAGATGAAAGGTGAAAATTTTACTTATTTATGTCATTATGTTAAATTAATAGGTCACATCATCATTTATTACGCATCTTATCATGTCATTTTAAGATTATTTGACCTAAAATGATAAATATAATTTAGATTAATAATTATTAGTAACTTATTAGTTACAATGACTTATTTTGTTCAAAATAAAATATAAAAATTTGATTGAATGTAATAAAAAAAATTTATTTAAATTTTTTAAAATATTTTTTAAAAAATTTAAACATTATACCTATTTTTTATTATTAATTTGTATTATGTCAACGGGCATAACTGTATGAAATGACACACTAGCTGTTGCCAACCGCTTGGGAAATCTTCTTTCATAGTGTTGCTGGTCCTACCTTGAAATCATGAAATCCTTTGACTATGTGACAATAGAGTTTAACAACATATCAAATCAGACCTACCACATTAAACCCTCAACCCCAGCCCCCATCGTTTTCCGTTTACAGCAAGCAAAGTCAGAATTGAGTTTGTGAATTCTCATTTTTTATGATTTAGTGGTGACGAATTCAGAATGTTATATAAAAAACAATTAAAAAGTAATTATAGAAATAATTATTACATATAATACATAAATATATGTATAATAATAAAAGAAATTAAAAATTAAAAAGTGAGAGCCATTGTCACTTACCATCGGCTTAATTTCACTTTGTCAATGCTCACCTAACTGGTTAAGTTGTTAGCCCAATCTTTAGGCAATTTTTGATATGACATGCCATTTTCTTTTAATGATGAACAATTTATTTTGTTATCCTCTTTGAATTGAGATCAAAGGTTGAATATTGGGTTCACCTAGTTGTTGGTTGAGCCATACAGCCATCACATGGTATAAGAAAATAATAATTTGACATGTTAAATTAAAAAAAAAATGACAACATAAATAAAGAATATTGAAAGTTGTAGCCAGGTTCATAAAAACTATATGATTATTCCAAAACAAAACTCTTAGCTGAAACCTAACAAAACCCAAACTATAAACTTGCACTTGAAAGTTGAAACCCACCTAAAACACTGATAATGAAGGCTTGGACCTTGGTTGGTCCCTGGATTGACATTTCACCCATTTCTTTCTACCAACAATATTATATATATATATTAAGTATGTATAACATAAATATAAATTTGTATTGAATATATTATTGATATACATTTTATCATCTCAAAACAAGCATACGATGTATATACTGTCGATAAATTAGAAATCATTATTCATAAAAATTACGATGTATATATTAATAAAGATTTAGCATATACTTTTAAAATGAAAAAAAATGTATTAACAAGTATTTTTTAAAAAAATTAAATATTTTTCTTAAGTAGAGAATTTACAATTATAAAATATAAATTTTTATATTAAAGGAGATTGATCCATATTTAAATATTTTAGATTCTAATATTAAAACTCTCTAAAATAAATAAACAACGAGATTTTATGAGAGAAAATTTTGCTATTAAATGATACACAAACAAATCATCAAATAATAATCATATAAAATACAAATATTTTTAAAATGTAAAATTAATTATCTATAAATAAAGGATAACTATAATCGAAAGAAAATTATATATATTAAGAACTTAATATTTTAATTATATATAATTGAAATTTGATAATATCAATTTATAAATTATTTGATACTGTTAGAATTAGAAAAATATTTTTTAATGAAAGTTATTCAATTTAAATAGAAATCTTATTTACAAATTGGATAAACTTTATTAATATTTATTTTACAATATAAATTTTAATAAAATTATTTGACTTAATTAAGATTTTTATATATTTATAAATTATATCAATTTTATTATTATTAATAGCAAAAATTATTTTAAATTACACTTTAGATATATCATATACAGATATAACCATTTTGATGATTATAAAGTTTTTCAACATTCATAATTATATATAATATAAATATTAAAAAATCCAAAATTAAATTAAATAAAAAAAAAAGAAACCTAATCAGCCCCAACTACAGCAGCTTCATAGCACACGATACTATGCCTATATATAAGTTGTAACCAAAGTTACCAAGCCTATGGTTTTTTGTGAACTGAGATATCACTTCCTTCAAACTGCCAACACTCTTTAAGCTAAGAGCTTTTCTTTCTTGTGTCTCTCTGAAACGCTATTTTCAATGGCTTACGAACGTATTCTTTTGGGCATGGGAAACCCACTTCTTGACATCTCTGCTGTTGTTGATGAAGACTTCTTAAACAAGTAAGTAACCCCATTTTACTTAAAATGCCAAGAGAGCCTTTATGTTCTGTTTTGCTACTGAGAAAATGGTAAAAGAAACAATAAAGGATTGACATTTGAAATCATTTTTTGATTTTGGAGCTGTTTTGTCTTGGTGGGTGTTGCAAAGTTTTGTTAGATCTGTGATGTTTTTATTGGACAGTTTGTTGCCAAGGACAGATCTGTAGTTGCCGGGTTTCACTTTTGGTTTCTTCGTTTTGCTAGTTTTTGGATTGTATTATTTTGGTTGTTATGAAATTTGAGGAAAATGGTGAATCTTGGATTGAGATTGTAAGGTTATGGATAGCAAAAAGGATGGAACTTTTCACTTCAAGACAAGGTTTTGTGTTGGGTTTTAAGAATGATAGCTTTTGCAATTGCTGATTTGATTTTCTTAACATTTCCTTGTATGTACATAACTACTATTTGTTTTTCATGGATATTTTGGCTGACCATTGAAATGCTTGGTTGGTGGAACAGGTATGACATCAAGTTGAACAACGCTATTCTTGCGGAGGATAAGCACTTGCCAATGTAATCTTCTTTTCTCAGTGATGCCATGGCCATCTATGGTCTATATTTAGCATTCATTTTAGAAATAAAAGCTGCCGTTCATGTGTGCGTGTGTGCCCATGTGTGTATGTATAGAGAATATCTATCTGCCTTCATATGCATATTGGTTCCCTGTGTATGATGTTCTACCGAGTGAACCTTGCTTGGGATGTATATTTTACTAGGTAGATGGCTGAGGGTGTTAATTGCTAATATGTGAAATACTTTTGAGTCGTGATGAACTTATTTTATGTGGATGAATTTTTCAAGGTATGAGGAGATGGCCAACAAGTATGATGTGGAGTATATTGCTGGAGGTAAGCTGGGAATTTGTATGATTTGGTGTTTCTAATGTCTTCTCAAACAAGAAGCTCGCAGATAGATGACATTGCATATCTTTAAATTTAATGGTGATTGCTTTCTATCAACTAATGAGTTTTACAATCTTGTGTTTCTGTAGGTGCTACTCAAAATTCTATCAGAGTTGCCCAGGTTTGCTATGTCAAGGGATTTTAATTTTAGTTAGATTAACGTTACTTGTGAATTCATTTTCTTTAATCTCTTTCAATGTTGTGTCCCTTCCAGTGGATGCTTCAGATCCCTGGTGCAACTAGTTACATGGGTTGCATTGGTAAGGACAAGTTTGGAGAGGAAATGAAGAAAAACTCAAAGCTTGCTGGTGTTAATGTAAGTTTCTATGCATCATTGCTGCCCACTTTTAAGCTTATTGTGCTTGCTTTGAGATTTAATTATGTTTGTGCAGGTGCACTACTATGAGGATGAGACAGCACCAACAGGGACATGTGCTGTCTGTGTTGTTGGTGGTGAGAGGTTAGTTGCTCCAATTGCCTGCTAAACTCCTGCTTGTGCCTGGAATATTCCAATTGCATAGTCCAGCTGTTTGTTTAGAGTTTTTTTCAGTTAGCTGTCTTCTTTGCACAGGGTGTGTGTGCGTAGAAACACAAGCATCCCATCAATTTGCTTTATTTTCCTACTACTCCACATGACAATTGATCCTTTCTTTTGTCTTTGGTTTGTTGAATCTAAAATCTTGCAAATCTAGTGGTCTTTTTCTTGCTCCTCAGATTATTTTAGGTAAAAGTAATTCACAAGTATGTCCATCAAGGTCTATCTTGTTGCAGATCTGTGTTATGGATGTCAGGAATGTGGGAAAATTTGCCAAATAAATCTGTTTTGAACAAACCATGCTACTGTCTTGACCAACTTAGAATGAAGTTTATTGTGCTTCTAATCATGCGTGCATGTTATGCCTATCCTAGTATTGGAATTTGTGAATTTTTTGTTTGTTGCAATTCCTGAGAAATTTTGTAGATTTATTAGATTTTATTTCTATGCCTGGACATAAATCTCAACATATGCATTTATTGTTGGGGACCAAAGGCCATGTGCAAAGTGTATATCTTTTATTGGTTTGTGTATCTCTATATGCAGCAATCTACCCACATACCTATATAATGTATGTAGGGATCAATAAATATACATGATCATCCAATTCTAAAAGTTTCTGTGTTGAAAAATTTTTGCTATTTTTGTTGTGGCAGATCACTTGTTGCCAACTTATCAGCTGCAAATTGTTACAAATCAGAGCATTTGAAGAGGCCAGAAAATTGGGCACTAGGTACTACTACTCTTTGAAACACTTTCTTGTTGCTTCAGTTTCCAGCTCTATTTCTTTTTGCTGGCTATGAGATTTTACCAGCTCACCTTTATTAAATTCCCTATATGAACAGTTGAGAAGGCAAAATATTTCTACATTGCTGGGTTTTTCCTTACTGTATCCCCTGAATCCATCCAACTTGTTGCTGAACATGCTGCTGCAAAGAACAAGGTAAAACTAATGGATTTAACTCTCAAGTATTTTCATTAGCTTCAAGACCGTTTATTTTTTATTGCAATTGCTATTATTTCTTGTCAATTAATTTCAATCACCACCTTTAAATTTGCAGGTTTTCATGATGAACCTTTCTGCTCCATTCATCTGTGAGTTCTTTCGGGATGTGCAGGAGAAAGCTCTTCCGTAGGTTTTATGACCCTTCTTTCTCCATATGAAATTATGAATTACATTGGAACAGGCGATGATGGGCCTTTTGGATGCAGTTACATGGACTATGTCTTTGGTAATGAGACTGAAGCTAGAACATTCTCAAAGGTTCATGGCTGGGAGGTAACTATCACTTATTGATTATTTTGTTTAGGAAGAGTACTGCACTTTATTTTTGCTCACAAATTGCGTTTTCCTTTTTTGTCTTTGATAACCAGACTGATAATGTTGAGGAGATTGCTCTAAAGATATCTCAATGGCCCAAGGCATCAGGAACACACAAGAGAATTACTGTTATCACCCAGGGGGCAGATCCTGTTGTGGTTGCTGAGGATGGAAAAGTGAAATTGTTCCCTGTTATCTTATTACCTAAAGAGAAGTTGGTTGATACCAATGGAGCAGGTATGTTTCTCTCTTATGTTTTCCAAGTGAATTGTGGAATATACATTGTCTAGAAGATGTATTCTTACTTTCAAAGTGTTTTAATATTCATCCTAATTTTGAAGATTTGAGCATAACTACTTTGCACATGGATGCATTTGGTTAAGCATATGAGATTCCTAGTTATTGAGTATTGGACCATTGGCAAACAAAGATATTATATCAAGGGATCAATTTATAGGAAATATAAACTGATTCTGTAATTCGGCATTTTGCTATTTTGAACCCTTTTCGATATTTAATTATATAGTATATGTTAGATTTTTTGCATGAGTAGACTTTCAGATTGTCAACAACTTGAAGGTCAATCAAGTTTTTGTGACTTTTCTTGGTTGCTTTGTTGAATTTACAAAACCCTAGCCCCATCCCTGAATGAAGAAAGGAGAATAAGGACACATTGAAATTACATGGTTATCATATTAGAGATGGTTCTATTTGGTGTTTAAAATTTGTTGATAGCAGTATGATACAATGTTAATGTGGCCCATGTTCAGTAAGCATTTTCGACAGTAGGAAAATGTTAATAACACATCCCATCTTTGCTTTGTACCATTTGGCTTTCCCGTTGTCACTGATCCACTGAGTTATTCATCTCTGCCTATCAACCTGCTCCTCCCTTTCTAGATGGGTTCAAAATGATCCAACAAAATATCTGGACTATAATAAGTTTAATATTCTAAGCTCTCAGAAGATGGTCTAATCTAGTCTGTGCCTGTAGAAGTTTCTATTGCTTCTGTTATTAGTTATCATCAGTATTGACCAGAGCTCAATGAGCATTAGAATAATGAAATCAAGGAAAAACATACTACTTTTATAGCCTTTTTCACGATCATAGTTAAAATGAGACTTGTAGTTGAAAATGCTCATTGGCTTAATTTTATGCTACTAATTTTTATCAATGCTGCTTTTCCTTTTGTGGCAGGGGATGCATTTGTTGGTGGATTTTTGTCACAGCTAGTCCAAGAGAAGCCCATTGAAGAATGTGTAAGAGCTGGTTGCTATGCAGCAAATGTTATCATCCAAAGGTCAGGCTGCACATATCCTGAAAAGCCCAACTTCAGTTAAAAAGACTCGTGCCTCTTGGCTCCAGCACTTGTTTTCTGGTAGTTGTGAGAGTTAAATCAGATGGCAGTCATAAGCGCAACTGTGCAAACCTGCATTATTTGCTCCTGTACTGTTGTATCTGGTGCAGGATATTATTCTTTTTTCAGATTTTTGTTCTCTTTCATATTTTTATGATTTGGTGAGATTTGATGTCATTTTTAAAACAAATGGTTCGTCCCTCAATACTTTTTAAATGGTGAACCGAATCGGGTTCAGGTAGGAGAATATTGGAGGACCCATATGTATAAGTGAGGCCATAATTTCTTGGTCTGGTTTCTGAAATTAGTTCATGTTTATTAATGCATTACTTGTTAATTCAGAAGCCTGCTGCCAATAAAATGAAGGCGCTTCTACAGCTATTTTTTCACTTGAAGTGCTCTCTTATCATCTTATGTGAACTACTCCTAGTTGTATTAATTCGTATACAGCAATCTCGTATCCTTGATTCTTTTCATTTAAGTTTATTTACTTCTACCCCTCAATGACCGGGAAGAGACGTTCTGGCTGCACTGGTTTTATTGTTGTTAGTGTCAATGGCTGATCAGATTTTCTATCTGGATTTTACTCACTTACAGCAGTATAATTGTTGTTGCTGAGATTCTTGGATCCCAGACAAGAGAAGTTCTCCATAACCAATCATGTTAGAGTATTTGTTTCTGCAAAACATTTTCAATCGAATTTGCAACTAAGAAATTCCAAACCTTTGGTTTCTCATACAAGGATAAAATAATGTAATTGGCTTTTACTAATTCCACCAGGATTAAGCTTAAACTTTGTTTGGAGCCACAAATTTACAAGAGCTGGACATAACTTGCGGATTTTGTTGGTAGTAGATCTGGGCAGAAGCTCAAAAACATGCTAAGGTTTCCCTGTGATTTCTAGTTGTCTGAGAATCTTTGATCTTGTTCCAGGTTTCTTAAGGTCATTATAAGTTAAAACATAGGCATGAACAGACTTCAGATGTGGATAAATGAGAAATAAAAATATAAAACAGTAAATATATATAAAAAATTTTATGTCTAGAGAAATGTGATACAGACTTTCCATTTGGTAAGGTTAAAAATTTTCTTCTGAAAAGTTTTTCAGCTTTTTTTTTTTGGAGGAAAACTTTTATGAATGTAAAATGTTTTTGCGATGATCAACGTAAAATATCTTACGTCCAATAAAAGCGTAAAACACTTTTCATTTGTCTTCTCTCTAAAAAAGTGTTAATTAATTCACCATAAAGAGAAAAAATTATTTAAATTTGCATACAAATTGTATAAACACCAAAAATCCCTGTATTGCAGTCCCATGTAAGGTGAAAGAAGTCAGAACTCGAACTTTCAAAGGTACAGGATCACAGAGTATGCTATGATATTTTGAACTGAACTGAAGTTTCTACAGGTAATAGAATCAAAATTCACAATGTACAACACATACTGTAGTTTTCTTGCACTTACTCAGCCGTTTGAAAGAGCACCAAGGTGACCCTTTAGAAACAAAATTGAGGCCCTTGATCTTGTTGCTGAGAGGGAGCTACACACTGAAGAACGATTGTGAAAATGTTCTCATTGCAAGGAATGCAAAGTTTAGAGCTGGTAGAAAAATCGAACACTTCCTCGGCGCGATTAAGCTATGCTTTGAAGAGAGGGTGCTCCAGTAAGCTTATCTTGATGACAAATATCTTGCAGTCTTCACCCACATATACAACTAGATGACCTCTGGGGACATCTACCGGAATATAGTCTTCCTCATGCAAGCAAGACCAGATACTCCAATCTCTAATATGACCCCAGATTGTGTACTTTAGAACACTTGCACCAACATTTCTGCCCTTATAGAGACATTTTCTTAAACCTTTGCTTTTCATCGTCTTGTCTGGGTTTGTGCACATGCGTGTTTATGCTTGTTTCTCAATCTATTAAAAGAAAGAGATATAGTGGTCTATGCAGGGTGCAACAAAGGTACATATGGCCCTTTTGTTGGTAGAAATGGCATAGCTAAAAGTTTTTAACAAAGTATAGAAGCATGAGATTCGGCAGCAATAAGAAGGACATGTACCTTTTGTCATCCAGTGATTTTTATATGATGTATCATAGCCAAATTGTACGAAAATGCACGTTGTTTTACTTAATAAGTGAAAGGATTCGATCAACATTCTATAGAAAGTTATATACCCCACAAAGGGATAAGATATTATCGGACAGCTTTCTGATAGTGCTGGTTGGGAAAAGTCGACCAGTTAAAGTACATCTGTACTTGTACAGGTTGCAATTTGTGTTATATGTCAGAGAGTACAGAGAATCAAAGGGGTTCGGCCGGTTATTCCTTTACTTGTTAAATTGTTAGAACACTACTATAAACAATTAATCACTTAGTTTTCTACATATATCCTTGTAGTTTATGAAACATTGTAAAGTGATAATTGGTAAGCATTGGGAAAGGATCATGGATCTATTAATTAGCAGATTAATTTCCCAGTTAGGAATTTAATTGTTGGTTGCACCATATTAAAGAAGCAATTTTGTTGATTGGCAAGGTAAGCTTAGGTTGGGAATGGCTAGGCTTAGGCAGCTCATTGTGGATGATGTAGTTGTTGTTAGTAAACTTCATTTGTTGAACTTACCCTTGAGCAGACATTGAGAGGAGTACACAGATTTGTTAGCTAGAGACCAAGTAAGAGTTTGGTGAGTTGGAATGAAGAAAACAAAAGAGATTTTTAGCAGGACACGCCATTTGAATTAAAGAAAAAGCCAACAGATTGGCAAACATTGGGGGGGTGGTGTTTGTCTCAATCATTTACTCTCCCTACCCACTCCGCATGGAGAGAGAGAGATAGAGATGGCATGGTAGGAGGTTGGTAGGTCTACTAAATCTGGTAGGTTTTCCCATTTTTCTTTGCATTATCTTTTGTGCAATAGGGACATGACATTTTGAAGATCTTTTCCTAAAGATCCAGTGGGAGAAAACGAAGAAAAAAAATGTTCTAAGGACAAATCTAGCTTGGTTTTCTTTTTCCTTTTTTTTTTATTAAGAACTAAATGTTCATGTAATTCAGATAAATTGGGAGACATGAAATGAAGTTAGTAGGATGGGAATTATACTTATCGCTCTCTCTTTCTCGCTACTCTCTCTCTCTCTCACTTGATTGACATATAACCTATTTACCAACTTAACTAACATTAAAAAGATAGTTGAAGGACATAAATCAAGGATGCTTAATGAGGATTCTCCCATCAACAAAATCCACCTTGAGGGCATATGGTTTATGTTTCTATGTTCAATGATGGGCCCTTGCCCCCATGCACCGTGCTTCTTCAAATCTGCTGTGAGCCACTCCAGGTTGTAGTAGGATGTGTGCACACAGTTCCATCCATTGGCTGCTTATCGTCCTGGGCCTGTTTACATGAAAGCAGAAAAAAAAGGAGGGGAGCTTTATTCCTATTTCTTTTCTAGTTATTTTCATGTAAAAATCAAGGATTTGGAGAAGGTCAAATGCCAGAGCTACTGTTTTGGCAATCTTTGGAGGTAGATATGGAAGTGCCTATTAAAATCAGTCGCAAAGTGGCTATATTAATCAGATAAGAGTCACTTATATAAACATCTAGAAAAGGAAGCTAAGACTTTGGACTGTATCAGAAGTTGGGGGAGACCGTGTAGGTTGGGCTTTGAAGCTCTTCATCTAGACTTGTAATGTAGCTATACTTGCCCCATTCATGGGAAGCCCCAGAAAAAGAAATATAAAAGACACGTCACACCTCACATTTCACCCCAATTTGCCACCTGGATCTCTATTGCCTCTATTTCTGCCAGGCAGCTTGCTGAGCTAAGCTCCAATTTTCATTTTTGTAACAAGAATTTGTTAGCTTAGTTAGCTGATCAGCCAGCTGAGAAGACTGAGCTTCCACCTCTCTAAGAAGAAGGAACCAACAAGGCAAGTTGCCAACACCCAAAGCACAACATACCACCAGTTAGTTGCAAAGGTATATCTGCCTTCTAGACCATGCCTTCCTTTCTTTTTCCACGCCAACCTTCTCTCCTTCCAAGCTCCGAACTCTTCTCTCTAATACCAAAAAAACAACAAAAACATCAAAGCGATCCCGGTTTAATACATCCAGCCCTGTGGTTCTGCCAAAACCAACTCTCTCCATCAGCTAAAAGGCTTCAAGGATCATAATATACTCTCATAGCAACAAGAACTCGAACAAAAGCGAAGAAAACTTTGATGACAATAATGTAAACGATGCTTCACCTTAGGACTTGATGGACTGGTGCTGCGTGAATAACCTTAGGATGCTGACAGTAGACGCAGTGCAGAGTGCGAAAGCAGGCCATCCTGGCATGCCACTGGGGATGGCAGAAGTGGGTTATGTCCTACACAGGCATGTCATGAGGTATAATCCTAAACATTCCAAGTGGTTTAACAGGGACAGGTTTGTCTTGAGTGCAGGCCACGGATGCTTGCTTCAATATGTTTGCCTTCACCTAGCCGAGTTCCAATTTGTGCAGGTATTTGTATCCAATTCCAGAAAGCTCGCTCTTTAGTTTGATAGAGTTTATGCAATTAATTGAGTTGGTGCACCAAATTGTAGTTGGTCTAAGCCGAAGTTCGATTTAACATAAAATTTATTTTAAAGTTCTAGAGTTATTCACATATTTATATCCTTCTACTTTAATATAAAAATTAAACAAAACTAAAAATGGAAACCATGAGTAAATGTTTGACAAAATGTAACTTTGATATGTATATGGTAGTATGCATGACTTAAAATAGAAGTAGAACGCTATGTAGCTCAACTAGAAGACCTGCAGCGTTTGTGCAAGCTTGGAATTTTAACCCCGGGGCATCCAGAAAATGTGGTGACAAATGGAGTTGAGGTTACTATAGGTCCAACTTATTACAGTACTTGTCACACATTGGTTCAGGAGGGAGGAAAAAGGAATTAACATAATGTAGAGGGTTCTTTTGGTTAGAGAGAGAGGATGTGTTGTAATGAGTGAATCGGAATGCGTTAGAAATACTTGGAAAGAACATCAGCAGATAAAGTTGAGAGAGGAGGATACATTGTGAGTGATAATTCTGGCAAAGAAATACCTGAGATAATACTGATTAGTATTAGGATAGAGCTTAGTTTTTGTGTGGGGACTGCCATAAAGCTAAGGAAAGAAGAGAGAAAAGTGAGGGTGATTTCACTTATTTGTTGGTGGCTTTTGGATAAGCAACCTATGGAGTATAAGGAGTTTGTGCTGCCATCAAGTGTTCAAAAGTACTTGAGCATCGAGGCTGGTTCACCAATGGGTTGGAGGGAATATGTTGGAGATGAAGGTGCAGTGATTGCAATAGAAGAGTTTGGGGTTAATGGGGCTTATTTAGATACATTTAAGAAGTTTGATTTCACTGAAAAGAATGTAACCAAGATTGCCAAGTCGTTGTTATCCCAATAGGAATTGTCCGAACCAAAGGTTATTTATTGTTAAACAAATAAAAAACATAAAGTTATTTAATAAAGCTTTTGCTATGTACATTGCATTTCTAACTAAAATATGATCAATTAATTCTTATTTTAACTTAGGAAGAACACATGTCTTTGTTTGGAAAGTAGGAAACTTTCTTGTCTCAAAATTTATTATTTAAATTTTATTTTCTCCATGTTGACAACAAAAAGAACAAATTAAGTCTATTTATAAATCCTTTGATCCAAAATATGTTCATACTACATTGAAAGTAAGTAAAGAAGGAAAAGAGAAAAAACTCATCAAAGACAAGAGATGGTTTCCAGGAGAAACATCAACCAACTGGTGGTTTTATATGTGGTATTAATGGCTCAAATATGCTCAACCTAAAATGTTGTTTCTTCATGATAGTAAAACCTACATGCCTTTTTGCATGAAACAAGATGGTGCAGCTAATGGTGAATGCTAGAAACCCTACAAGGAGCACTAAATAACTCAATTAATGATTACTTAGAACATTGAAAATTCTTTGATAATTTTTTTGGGGAGGGAATATAAAGTCACCCATTTTGTAAAATATGCTTTTGAATAATGTCATTGGTATTTGTGAAGAATAAAAAAGGTAACTTTGATATGATAGTAATTTTTTGACAATAAATCATGATTTCATTGTAATTACCATCTACATATCCCCTTTGATCGATGGCCAATATTCATGTATTAGATTTGAAAATGAAAATCATATGATGTGATGAAGCTATATGTCATGAGCCAACCTTTGTATAGGGTACAATGACTCATTTGTATCTTTATCCCAAATATCCCAAATTCAACTAAAGTCAGAGCATTGTCATGAATGTATAAATATGAATTCAATAAAAATTACTAATAATACATAAGGAATTATCTGAAAATAGTATATAAATTTGATAAAAGAAAAAAACACTTATCAAAATGGTTCTTAAAGGAAAAAAAAATTATAAGAATGAGTATCTTCGAGTTTCTTTATTGAAATTTTTTAAATTAATTAATATCAAGTTAATAAATCAATCACTATCGTTTATCATATCCATATGAATATAGATTTTTAAATAAAACTTAACAACTTATTTAGATAAATTAATAACTTAAAACGGGTGCTTTCTTCTGATTTTTTTTTTCCCCACAAAATGCTTCTATATATATATATATACATTTATATAGAAATGAAATTGACTTGACTTGAATTAGAAAAGTGGAAACTTTCAATCACAATTCCCAATCTGAAACCTTATATTCCTCCATGATTCTCTCAAAACCACTTAAAAAAAAAAAAAAGAACATCAACTTGAGTCCTTTATAAGTCTTCCAATTCTTCCAAAAGAAAGAAAATAAAATTCCAGAAGTGAAAAACATGGGGAGCAAGAGAATGCTATGTTTGGTAATGCTTATCTTTGCCATGTTTGTGCTTGCCCAAAGTGTGTGTCAAGATGAGTGCGTTGCTCTATGTCTACGTGACGTCCCTGGTCACAAGCGTGGCTGTCAATTAGCCTGTGAAACAGCTTGTAGAGATCTTCCTCATCCATAAATTCTTCAACGATTTTTTTAGATAAATATATATTTTTTAAGAGAGATTCAAATTTATATTTTTTAAATATAAAGATTATGCATGAATCAATTAATCAAACGTTCGGATGAGATCATAATTAGATATTTAAGAGCTTGGGAATGTCTTTGTATTTTTTGTATATATTTTTGTAGATATTTTGATTTTAGAAAAATGAAAAGAATAGAAAAAGTATTGTGTTTACTTTTGTTGGAATAGCATATTGAGAAAATGATGGATGGAAAATGTAGTTTCATCAGCATTTGGACCCACGTCTAAATAGTAATGTTAATTGTGATGTAGGCCATAAAATCTTTCCACTAAAAGAAAGTAAATTAGATATAGGAGCAATATTTTTTATTGCTTGCCTTTTTCATTTTTGAGTCAATTCACACTAACAACCTTTTTCTCTTTTCATCCAGTGGCTAGGGTTTGATCCTATGTTGGTTACCTGAATTTTCAATTTCATGATGGAAATATATAAATCAATTTATTTATGTCAAGAAATTAACTTCAAACTTTAACTCGTAATAATTAATAAATTAAATATTCAAATATCAATTTACTTTAATTGATATTTTGTTCCTTTTATTAATTTCTTATGTATTACTAAATTACTATTAAAGATGTCAGTTGATATATTATTATCCGTTATCTTATATTACCGGATTTAATTAAGTAATATTAAAATATTTAATAATTAAATTTAGATATCTTGTTAAAGAATAGAGTTCGGGGTTAAGGTATCTAAAAAGTAATGAAAACTTTATCTAGTAACATTCTTAATTCCTAGTGACATTTAATACATCACCAATTATTGAGTTAACATAAAATAAAATAATAAAAATTATATAAATGTGATTTTCTCTTTTTATACATTAAGAGAGTGGTCTTAAATTTAAATTCATTTTATGTTTGGAAATTAAGCTTTTATTAGTTTAATGTGTAATTAAAAAAATTTAATGTGTTTTATTATTTATCTTTCTGATATTTTTTCCCCTTTTACTTATATAAATATGCCAATAAATTAATTTTGGACCACAAATTCATGCAAGATCTTATCATAGCCTCTTAATGAAGAGATAACCATACATTCATAGAATGTAACAGATGTACACCCTAAATGTCCCTTTCCGTTGATATTTGTAAATATTTTCATGCAAGTGGCCTAATATAATAATAAATAATAATGAAAAGGCATAATATAATACACCCAGTCTTACCTCATCAAAGCATAAAATATCGTACGGCCCACAGAATTTGCATCAACACCCGTGCACGTTAGTCCATTTCCACATTCCTCTGCTAAATTGAGCTGGCTGAGTTAATCAAAACCTAGCTTTCTCCCTCTGTCTCTCTTCCTTTTGCCGCTTGTGAAGGAGCAATGTCAAGATTGTCAAGCGGTTTCAAGCGGTTCCCCAGGTTTTAATTTTTTCTTTTTCATTTCTTTGCTTGAAATTTCACTCGAAAGGTTTCAATTTTGTACCATAAACTTTGCAATTTTATGTAGTTTCAAATAAAGAAACCAAGGGAACAGGAAAAACCCATGTTGGGAAACATGTCAAACACCTTGAATCTAGTGTTTTAGAGAATTGGGTTTTTGTTATGTTTTGTGCTTGACTTTGAAACTTCCGTGAACAACGTATGGTGAAGGTTATATTTTTTGATTGGTTTATGCCCTTCTTGTTGTTTTGAATCTTTGTTGTAAATGGGAAATGTCGAAATACCAAACTGGCTTAAAGGGTTGCCATTGGCACCTGAATTTAGGCCAACAGATACTGAGTTTGCTGACCCCATTGCGTATATATCAAAGATTGAGAAAGAAGCTGGTGCTTATGGTATATGTAAGATTATCCCACCACTGCCAAAACCATCAAAAAAGTATGTTTTTAACAACTTGAATAGGTCGTTGTCCAAGAGTCCAGAATTAGGAAGTGATATGGATGTTTCAAAGAATGTTGGTTCTATTTCAAGCTGTAGGGATAGCGGAGGTGAGGAGGGGGAGGGGGAGGGAAGGGCGGTGTTTACGACCCGACATCAGGAGTTGGGGCAGAGTGGGAAGAAAATGAAAGCGGCAGTTAGTAGTCTGCAATGTGGTGTTCATAAGCAAGTATGGCAAAGTGGGGAGATTTATACGTTGGAGCAGTTTGAGTCCAAGTCGAAGACTTTTGCAAAGAGTTTATTGAGTGTGCTTAAGGAGGTATCGCCATTGCATATAGAGGCATTGTTTTGGAAGGTGGCTTCAGAGAAGCCAATATATGTGGAATATGCTAATGATGTCCCTGGATCAGGTTTTGGGGAACCAGAGGGTCAATTTCGGTATTTCCATAGGAGGAGGAGGAGGAGGAGGAAGAGGATGTCATACAGGAGGGAAAATGCTGATTGCAAGAAAGATGAGATGAACACTGTACATAATTCACGTATTGATGAGATTAAAGATACTTGTGTTAAAAGTGATCAAAATACATGTTTTGAAACACCAAAGATATCTCCTACATCGTCAACCATGGCATCAGATGACAATTCTCATTCTAAACGAAAGAGTGGAGATGCTAGTAATGATATGGAAGGCACTGCAGGATGGAAGCTTTCAAACAGTCCTTGGAACCTTCAAGTGATTGCCCGCTCAGCTGGCTCTCTTACACGTTTTATGCCTGATGATATTCCTGGTGTTACTTCTCCCATGGTTTATATTGGCATGTTGTTTAGCTGGTTTGCCTGGCATGTTGAAGACCATGAGCTTCACAGCATGAATTTTCTTCACACTGGCTCTTCAAAGACTTGGTATGCTGTTCCTGGAGATTATGCATATGCTTTTGAGGAAGTTATCCGCACAGAGGCTTATGGTGGTAATATTGACCGCTTAGGTATGTGAATTTTTGCCATTCATATTAAGTCTTTGGACATAATCTAGGGCTGGGGTTTAAAAAAACATGGCATGCATTCATTTCATGGCTTAAAGGTAATCACAGATGCCTTTTTTTTTATTGGACTTTTGATCTGGAATTGCTTCAATTATATTGCTTCTAATTCATAGAATATGTTGTGGGTTCATGAATTCTGGTTTTTGCTAATATCTGGGTATGCTTAGACTTACCTCCCTTCTAACAAAACTGTTGATGACTATCAGAACTTAGTTGATTGTTGTAACTTTTATATTTTTCTTGCAACTCATTTTCAGTTTCCTTTATTGCCAGCTGCTCTGTCATTACTGGGTGAGAAGACAACTCTTCTATCACCTGAGTTGATTGTCGCATCTGGCATTCCTTGTTGTAGGTGAGTTGCTTGTATCTTTTGAATAATTTTATCTTTGGTCTCCCCCCTACCCCTAATGATTGAAATTCCCAGATGTGAGAATGTTAACATCCCATACATGGAAAATTTTTGAGGTTTGTTACACCAGAGTCTGCGATTTGGTGTTTTCTTCTGATTATGTTAAAGTTCGACTCATGTTTATTCTGTCATCTCTTTAGGTTAATACAGAATCCTGGTGAATTTGTTGTGACTTTTCCAAGAGCTTACCATGTAGGATTCAGCCACGGTAATTGATTTATATCGGTTTTCACCTTTATGAGAATTTTATTGGTTGTCATAGCTCATGACTGGGATTTGGTAAATGCACATTTATGTTCTCTATTTGAACTACAAAATGGAATTTTGCAAATTGTAAGGGAACATGTCGGTTCTTGCATGGCTTAATTTAATCAAGAAAAAAGGATTTTCCAATTTCCTTTTTGGATAGGCATGCCTTTTAGCTTGACATGATCTTGGAGCATGCATAATGAGGTTTAATACATGTAAATGATCTGAAAATGATACTCATGACTCATTGGAAATAATTACACTTAAGAAATTTAAGGTTTCAATAGGGGATTGATGAGTTTCACTTCCTCTGGCAGTTTTGTAAATTAATGACTATGGTAATTATGATAATAAATAAGTTTTCTTTCATTTTGCTTTTAAATTTTCTTTCGGGGGGGGGGGGGGGGGTGGGTGGTGGGTGTGCTGTTGGGGAGGAACAGAAGCAGGGAGGGTTGGGGGGCGGCGGGAGTGGTAACTTCATTAACAAAGTGTTTGATCTGTGTGGTGGGGATTAGCTATGTACTTATCAATTGTGAGCAAGGTCATGTTGATGGTGTAATCTTGTTAACAAGTATGTTAAAAGATATTTAAAATCAGTCTGAATCAGGACATCTTATTTGCAAAGATCCATTAAGTGTACGTGAGTAACACTGGAACTGGAACACCCTAGAAGTTACTATATGTATGTATATTACAAACACCATCATAATGAGGAGGGGCATTCTGCTGTGGTCTTTGTGAATATGCATCATTCAGTCATTGGGTGTGTCCTAATATTGTCTAAGACAGAATTTATTACTCAAGTCTTTATTCTGCTCTGAGAATTACGCTAGTATGCTAGTAGTGTATTGTTTTATTTATTTGTCTCATCTAGGCTACTATAGCAAGGAATTTACTGTAACCTTTGATCTCTCATTTTAATTCTCATCAATGGTCATGGTCATTTTTTTTTCTTTTTTGCTAAGCAGGTTTTAATTGTGGGGAAGCTGCAAACTTTGGAACTCCACAGTGGCTTCAAGTAGCTAAAGAAGCTGCTGTTCGTAGAGCTGCTATGAACTATCTTCCAATGCTTTCTCATCAGCAGCTGCTGTACCTTTTGACCATGTCTTTTGTGTCAAGGTCAGATTGTAGCAAACTACCGAGTGAAGTTATGCTGTACCTTTTACGTCTGAAATGTGCACTATGAATATTTATAGTATTATTATTTTAGGTCAATGGAGGAGGGTATTCTGGCTTGATTGGGGCATGTAGGCAGCTATTTCTGATTAGTGCAATAAGTTCATTGGCTGGGTATTGTAATATAAGGCTGGGTCTGTAAATGCAGGGGCAATGGGCTAGATTTAGAGTGATTTTGGCTTAATTGCTTGCAGGGCAGGGTATATGATCTAGTTTTAGTTCTGGCAAGACATTGGCTCAATAGAAAGTAATATTAGACACAAAACTAGCAATGTTCATAGAACAAACTGTAACCAAATTTAAGGCACATCTGTTTAAACAGTTTAATCAAGTGCAGTTAATCCTAAGTTACTCATGAATTAGGCCATATTTTTTGTGAATTTTCATCAAGCATAGTACTCTTATAATTAGTGTGGTTCTAGTAATCATAGAATTTGGCGTTAACCTTTGTACAAATTCTTTGCATCTTTTTCTTAATTTTGATCGTAATAATATCTACTGAGCTGTCTTTGTTGTTTCTCAAGTTATTTATTTGTATTGTTACCAGGGTGCCAAGATCCTTGCTACCTGGTGCTCGGAGTTCTCGTTTGAGAGATCGCCAAAAGGAAGAAAGAGAGTTGTTAGTAAAGAAGGCTTTTATAGAAGATATGTTAACTGAAAACAAATTGTTATCTCTTCTTCTTAAAAGAGGATCAACTTATCGTGCAATAATATGGGACCCTGATTTATTACCTTATGCAAGCAAAGATTCTGAATTGCCCAGTGAAACTGCTGCAGTTTCTACAATACCGCAAGAAAATGTTGCTGACATTCATTCTAAAAATAATACTAATCAAAATAATCTCTTAGATGAGATGAGCTTGTATATGGAAAATCTGAACTATTTATATTTGAATGAAGATGATTTGTCGTGTGATTTTCAAGTTGATTCGGGGACATTGGCTTGTGTGGCTTGTGGAATTCTGGGTTATCCATTTATGTCTGTGGTACAACCATCTGAGGGAACATTGGAACTTCTACCTGCAGATCATCTTTCGGTTCAAGGTCCTGCAGTCTTGGAATCTAAGAATACTCATTCCTGTCCTGACCTTGATCACCCTGTTGAGGGCTCAGTTTCAGGTATTGGACCCTTTTTAAAATTGTTGTTGTTTCCCATATTTATTGTCAGTTCCTTTCATACTTAATGTTCTTCTGCACTCTAATTGTCACATAGATTGTAGGATTATTTTCTTGCAACTTAATTATATGTTGCCATAAACCTGGAACATCCCAAAGAATGATGATAGCAGTGTATTGTTGTAGAACAGTTCGTTAATACTGAAATTAACTGACCATTTCGCTGCATTATATTATGACTGTATGTTTATAACTTCAAGCCATGACACCATAGACATTGCACATAATTAAAAGAAAATCTTCAACAGAATCGTAAAACAATGATTGAAAATCCCAAGTTAACCTTCCATCTTGGTGCATTTATATTTGGATTATATTCCTTTTACTTCAACTTATTCCACCATAGATATGCATTGTTGAGGGAATAATTCCTCCTGATCTGCTAAGTGATAAGACAATTCTCGAAAATCAGGAATTAACCTTGCATTATGGTGCATTTTTTCTGATGATCTAAAGGAAGTTGCTGGTGGCTGTCTCAAAGCTCCTTAAATGCAGCTTTTTTCCTTCATAATTGGCCTTAATAAAGTTGCTTGTATGCAGAACCACTACCTTAATTGCTACAAAATAATTATGCTGATCCTTTGATGTTATGTACAGTTTGATAGTCATGTTCTGATTTATTAATACTTATATAAGAAGCATATGTTGAGTATTTTAGTTTTTTCTTATTTTTAGAGATACAATTTCTGTGTATGATTTCAAATGCATTCTGGATGTAGATAAATGCATATAACATTCTCCATACATACTTTCCTCTGTGTTTTATTAATATACTGGCATGACATTGTAAATAAACAAAATGCTCCAAATGGGAAAATGTTATAAGCAAGTGCTGGGAATTTTTAAATGTACAAGTTTATGAAAATGGGTGGGTTATTTATTTTTGACATTTATTAGTTGTTTTCCCGGACGAAAATGAAAGCAGGCACTGTTCTTTCTTAGATTTCTCAAATAAGCCGTATCATTTTATTGTACTCAATTGAGCCCTTAAAATACTATTTTTGTCTAATTAAGCCGTTATTTTGCATGGAAATCATGGATATCTGTTATTGCTTCCACTTTAGCGTTTATATGGTTGTTAAAATCAACATCCATGTGGCAAAAAATGAAAATTCATGCTGCGTTTACACTGACATGGCATGCTGCATCAACATCTATAGAACCTTTTTTGCCATGTAGATGTTGATGTGGAAAAGTAACGGATTGTAGGGGTTTTCACCCCAGTTTAGGGCTCAATTAAACAAAAATAATACTTTAAGGGCTCAATTGGGTATAATGAAAGGAGAAGGGCTTATTTGGAGAATTTGGGAAACGTAGTGGCTTAGAAGTACTTGAGCTTTAATAAAACTGGAGCAATCGGCTTAACCGCTATTTTGGCCTGTCAAGTGCTGGGTAGATTAAAACTAGTGCTTTGTTCTGCAGACAATGTCCATCTTGTTGCTGATCAATCTCAACCTCCAAAGGATGCGACATCACCATCAATAACTAAGTTTTGCCAAGGATGGGACACTTCAAATATACATCTGAGGCCTCGGATTTTCTGCCTGGAGCATGCTGTTCAAGTTGAGGAGATTTTGCAGTCCAAAGGTGGAGCAAAAATGCTGGTAATTTGCCATTCAGGTGAGATTGGCTTTAGATCTGTCTGCACTACTATTCTATACTTCAAAATTAATAGATCAGCAAGCACATTTAGGCTACATTCCTTTTCTTATCAAGAACCGTTTGAAAAGGAGGAAAAGAAAAAGAAAAGAATATGAAGGGAACTATATTTTGTCAAATGATTTTAAATATTGATCATACTTTCCATGTGTTTGTCTATGTCCAATATCTATTTGCTGTAATACTTACTGCTATCTGCTATTCAATCAATGAATATTTATTTGTTTTTGCATCAGTCTGTTTAGAAATATTGCATTACATATAATAGCATCTTTGTTGTGCTGATGCATTAGTCCTTCACATCTTCGCTCCTCTGATCTCTGTAGATTATCAGAAGATAAAGGCACATGCAATACCTGTTGCAGAGGATATTGGTATCACTTTCAATTACAATGATGTTGCATTGGATGCTGCATCCCAGGAGGATCTAAACTTGATTAATCTTGCAATCGATGATGAACATGATGAAATAGGAGAAGACTGGACCTCAAAACTTGGTGTTAACTTGCGATATTGTGTCAAGGTCAGAAAGAACTCGCCATTTAAGCAAGTTCAGCATGCACTGCCATTGGGTGGACTTTTCTCTGATAAATATGGCAGCCCAGAGTTATTTAACATCAAATGGCAGTCAAGAAAATCTCGTTCAAAAGGTAAGTTGAACCATCCATCATCTAAACCATGTGAAAGCATTGAATTGAAAGTGGATGAGTTATTGGTGGAAAAGCTAGATGGCAATATTCCTAAAACTGAGCTGAAAATTATTCAGTATTCAAGGAGGAAAAAAAGAAAACCAGATTATTCTACTGGAGCAGGTGGGTGCCTTGAACTTGTGAAGGATGACCTACCAAGAGAAGATTCTGCTGCTACATGTGAACTTCCTGATGAACATGGGGGAAGTAAATCCAAAATAAATGCCGAAAGTGACTCTTCTGTATTATTTTCATCTCCATCTACTAGGGCATCTCAGACACAGCCTGAGATCCAGACTTCCTCAGTTGTCGGGGTGGTACAAAAGGATCATGGTAAAATTTTGCAGGAATCAAATCTGAATGGTGAAGGTTGTAGTTTGGCAGCATGTGCTAGTTCTCAAAAGCATTGTGAGATCAAGCTTATGGAGAGAACCACTGAGAATAATGAGCTTTCTCTTGCTGATAAGTGTTCAAAAAGCAGTGTTATTGCAGCTTGTGAAAGATATAAGGAAAGTACTGGTGCTATTTGTGAGGTTTGCAATCCAGTTTATGAAGGACAGTGTGAGGAACTGGCTGCCAGGCATGATTTGATAAATCTTGCCAACTCAGCAAATTCACTTTCTGCTCAGCCATCTGCTGGAAGATTTGATCCAGTATTGGAGGATATAATTGTTGAGAAATCTTGTATGAATGGAGGGGTTCATTCTTGTACGACTTCTGATAACGAAGTGCAGCAAGAAATTGAAGCTACCAGCAGAAATAACAATGAGGACATTTTATGTGATGATAAACTAATAAATAAACCAAATTTGGGTCCAGAGGATTTTTCCAGTGGTGTTTCCTTGGGAGATGAAGTGCAGCAAGAAACCAACATTAGAGGTGGAAGTCAGGTTGAACCATTTTTCAGTTCTCCCACTCTAACAAAGGGGCCTAGCACTGTCGTGGTGGGAAATAGATCTGATGTTCCAAGAGAGCCCTGTACTGCAGCAGATTTATGTGATGTTGCAATTTCCAAGGATAAAGCAAAGAAGCAGGAAATCCAGATTAATGCGAATAAGGAAAGACTTCTCTGTGGTTCTATTACGCCAGTGGTGATTGATCAGCGCACTAGTCTCTCAGTGGAAGAATATTCTGTAATTTCCAAAAATCCTTGTGCTGAAGAACTGCATACTGGTGTGACCTCAGATGTTGAAGTGTTGCAAGAGATTCAAGCTACAAAAGGAACCAGTGGGGATGAAGTTATCTATTGTTACCATTTGCCAATCAAAGAAAAGCAGCCTACTCCCACAGTGATGGAAGGTTGCTCCGAGGTCCAAAGGGAGTGCAGTTCTGAGAAAAAATCATGTGCTGATGCAACTGCTGCAGATGACAGACATGAAAATGACATGATTAGAAATGAAAAAGTTGGGGAAGAATCTGTTTCTTGCTGTGTTACTCCTATAAATCAGGGTACACCTGTCCCAATCCAAAAATACTCTAGAACTCGTAGAGAGAGTCGTGCTACTGTGAATGTGAATAATGGTGGTGAAGTTTGTTCATTTGTAGAGAATAGAGATCTTGAGTCTGTTGCGGTAAATTGCAGATCAAGTGCCACAGATGGAAGAAAGAGGAAGAGAGAAGTGGTGGAAACACCAGAAAAGGTTGGTGGCAGTGGCTTTATCAGAAGTCCGTGTGAAGGATTGAGGCCAAGGGCTCGGAAAGATGCATCAAGCAGTTTCGATGCAGGCAAAACATCCCAGGAGGTGCTGCCAACAAAGGAGACGAGGAAACCTTCAGTTCATACACAAAGTAAGAAGATAATTAAGAAGGGGTCTCATAGGTGTGACTTGGAAGGCTGCAATATGAGTTTTGAGACAAAGGAAGAGTTGAGGTTGCACAAACGCAATCGGTGCCCTTACGAAGGCTGTGGAAAGAGGTTTCGATCCCACAAATATGCAATCCTTCATCAACGAGTCCATGAGGATGATAGGCCCCTCAAGTGCCCATGGAAAGGATGTTCCATGACATTCAAGTGGGCATGGGCTAGGACCGAGCATATACGGGTGCACACTGGAGAACGACCATATAAGTGCAAGGTTGTAGGCTGTGGCCTTTCTTTCAGGTTTGTATCAGATTTTAGTCGGCATAGACGAAAGACAGGACATTATGTAGACTCTTCAGCCTGAAAGTTTGTCATCATATTTAGGCAAATGTGCGACTATGGCTCTGTGGCCTTAAGAGGTCTACAGAATCATGTACAAACTCAGAGTTTCTGATTAGGTATAGGTTAGGGCTAGACTGATCCTTTTGTAGGTGGGCATTCTCCATTCATTTGAATGCAGTTATAGTGGAAAAGCCTTCTCAGTTTTTGTTTTTGAGGATTGTTCACGGCAATCCCTTATGGATAGAATCACTAATCCCCTAACAGGAATTGTTGGCAGTAATTCGATCTCCCCATTTTCCTAAGTGGTAAAATCTCTTCTCTCCTCATTGGTGGAAGACTACTTGTCAATTTACTAGTTTCTTCTTCTTTTTCACTTATATGTGTTAAACTAGCAGTGACAAAGACAACTACCCTTTAGGTAAGCCCTTAAGTCGTATAGATTAACATCAAAAGAAAAGGAATTTTTGGGGTCTATTTATCAAATCAAACAATAAAATCTTTGAGCATCTACAGGATAAGTTCAAGATGTTCATCTTGAAAGCTTTGTTACTATATTTTCATTCTCAAGCAAAGTCCTGTTCTGGCAGCAATAACAGCAATAGTAAACCCGTTAACAAAATAAACCCAATCCACAATAGCATAGACATTTAACATCAGAAGTTCTGGAATTAAAAGCTTCCATCTTTCAACAACAAGGATACAACTGCTAAAATGCCAATAAACTAAATCATAAAAGACCAAATACAACTGAAATTTCAATCTTTGGCTAACTGGGATGAAACTAAAAACCCAGTAACACTTCATCTCTTTATTAAAAAACTCACCTAAAAAACTAAACATTGGCATTTTCATAAGCTTGAAGAGCATCACCAGTCAGCCTACAAATCCTCCACTCAGGCAAAACTTTAGCACCCATTTGTTCATAGAAATTAATAGCATTAACATTCCAATCCAAAACAACCCATTCCACTCTCCCATACCCCATTTTCACCGCTTGTTTCGCGACTGCCGCAAGCAACATCTTCCCAAACCCTTTCCGTCTATAACACTCCCGAACAAACAAATCCTCGACATAAAACCCCGGTTTCCCCAAAAACGTGGAGTAGTTTGGAAAAAACAAAACGAACCCAGCAATTATAATTTGATCTTTTCCAAAATTAACCGTGAAGGCATCTTTTTCGGGGTCGTTTATGGGGATGTCGAAGTTAAAAGTTTTTCCTATGGGGGTAAAAGACGGGTAAATGGAAGGGAGGGGTGGGATAGGGGTACTGGAAACTTCGAGGATGAAAATTGTGAAGGAATCGAAAGGAGGGGAGCGGAAGAGGGTGGAATGAAGGGAGGATTCTGTGGCGGTGAAGAGATGGGTTAGGCGTTCAAAGACGGCCATTTGGTGGATTAGTTTGTGGATGAAAGGGACGTCAGAAGGGGCGGCTAGGCGAATCCTGGTGAATAAAGGGTGGCCTAATGGGGTGGTTTCTGGTGGTGCCATGGATGGTTCTGGAGCAGCAGATGGTGGCGGTGGTGGAGCTGCGGCGGCCATTGGGCTTGGAGAGTGAAAATGAATTGAAAATTGGGGAAGCTTACTAGAGAGCGAGAACTGGTTAATGGAGAATGGAGTAGTAGAAGAGAAGGATTTTATACGTGGGGTTTTTGGTGGCTGGGTTGTAATTTTGTGTGGAAATGGAGGGGGTAATTGAGTGGTGGGCTATTTTTTTTTTTTTTTACTTTTTTAAACAATTAAATATTTATA